TCCTGAAGTATATACTGTGCATAGTTGTGGATAATGGTGGGGCTTGTACACCCCTAATGGGTGAGGTGTGCACCGTCTGGCAGATGGACATGCTTGAAGCTCTGACTGGGGTGGGGCAAAGGCAGTATATGTAACCTAAACATTTGTACCCCCATAATATGCTGAAATAAAAAAAAATAAAAAAATAAAATAAATAAGACAGCTGATAAAGTAGGGTGGTGGAAACTAGAAAACAAAAGCCATTGGGATACCAATGAGTATAGAGCCCAGGCCTTCCAAAGCCCTGAAGAGAGTGCAGGACTCCAAGACAGAGCGGGCATGAAGCAGAGAACGGAAAATGAGTACTATTAGGAAGGCTGCTATTGTCCCACTGACACCCCAGCAGCCAGGCTCATAACTCCTCCCCTGCACAGGAGGCTGAAAGATTATTCCCTGAGAAATGGGAAGAGCAGAGGGCTCAGATACATCAAAACAGTAGGAGCGCCGTATGGAGCTGGAAGCACACTGCTTTATAAGGTGAAGATTGGAACCAGTGGACTGGGACAGAAATGAGAAAGCTGAGACTCGGCTTTGACGTAGCACTTATTCCCTGGTCAGCGCGCACTGGGGCCTTAGGTCCAGGGACGCTCCCCGGCTGGGACGCTCCTCGCGATGACCATCTTCTCCCAGCTCCACGACTCGCCCGTGTGCAGAGCGATGCCACTGTGCGGCCCGAAGTCATCAAGCCTGCGGCCCTGGCGTCCTGGCTTGACCTAGAGAGGAGGATGGGGGATCAGAAAGAAGCCTGCGGGACGTGGGAGGACCTGGGTCAGGAGCGGAGGGACCGGCTGCCATCAGGCTGCTCTCCTGACATGCGGCTGCGCTGTGGAGGGGAGATGCCAACACCCACATCGGACGTTGCTAGGTGGAAGGAGGTGACCGTGCCGCTCTGCCGCGCTCCGTCCCGCTGCCTACAGTGGAGGCCGCACCTGCAGACCCCCCACTAGGACGTGAGCTCTGCTGGGGCCGCGTCCGTCTTGGAGGATCCCCAGCGCCTACATCAGCATCCAGTGCGCACTGGGTGGTCAGTACACAGTTGCTGACATAATCTGTTGATGGAGTCACACGGAGAACTGAGTACAAGCGAGTGCTCTGACACAGACATCGTACAGAATCTACACTGTGCAATGAACTGAAAGGACAGACCCACAGCCAATGTCACGGGGAGAGATGAGGCTGAGAGGTGCTCCTTGAGTCCCAGCAGTGAAGTTGGACATATTCTCCCTGTTCAGGGTGAGGTGCTGGCAGGGAGCCCCAAGTTGGTCTGATCAAGCCTCTCTGTCCCCAGCCACAGCTCTCTGAATCTCCAGCTTGATTACTCTTGTGGCTGCACAGCTGGGTTTTACTTTCTTGCTCTGCCAGCAGCACCATCTGATGGCAGTGCGCCACGCTCACGGTGATGCTCGAGCGTGGAGGGCTGCAGACTCCAGCGTGATGCCTGACCGGGGGCGTGCAGTCCGCCATCTGCAAAGCCTAGGAGGGGCCTTGCAGGGCAGGCCTGGCTGGGCCAGCCACGCATGTCCTCCTTGTTACGTGAGCCTGCTGGGTCTAGGATGCAACATTTCCACACAAACACTTTACATACCCGTGAGCCAGGTCTTTACCCCTTAGGAAAAGGAAGAATTTTGAATTAATTTACTTCCGCTTTGTGATGTTTTTCTAAGTTGCTGCTTAATTGTCTAACGTGAGTAATTTCTATCTTCACCCCAACCTTCCTTCCTTTACAAGCTTTCTTCTCCCCTGATAAAGATTTTCTCCTTGACCAAACTCTTCCCAGGCTCCCTGAACTCTTTTTCAACCAGGCCTGACTTGGACTTCAGTGTGTACCCTACTACAGCGTCTAATTTTAGGAAAAGTCCTGCTAAATCAGCGCAACCATTACCCCCACCCTCTGACCCCCCTCGACATCCTCACTATCTGATCAGGCTCCCCAGCCCCCACCGCCCCCCAGGTGAGGTCTGACCTCCCTGGCCTGCCTTCAGGAACAGTCCGGTTAGCTGGAGTGTAGCCAGCATCTTGCCCTGCCCTGATGTCCCTGTTGGTCACTTCCCGTCACTGGCCCCACCCTGCTCCTGGGCTGCACCTTCCCACGTGCCCACCTGTGTTCGGAGCTGAGGCCCATCTCCCCCCTCACCACAGACCCGTGGTGCTGACTGCGCCCCTCAGGACAGTTCCCCACTGGAAAGTCTTCCTGCTGGTTATGGACGGTCCCTGGGTCAGCACGTATCATTCACGTGCAGTAATTGCCATTGAATACTTTTTGAATACTCTGCCATCACTCACTGTAAGCTAGACCCCTGTCTTTGAGTGGCTGTTCCTTCTCCAGCGCTCTAACCACCCCACTCTTGGACTCAGCCCCTTCTCATGCGCGTGGTGGGGCTCCAGGTGGAATCCTGCCCGGTCTCCCGCAGCCTCCCCTCCCCAGGAGACGTTCCTCATCTGAGGAGAAGCTGCCGCGGACGATGCGCTCACTTACCGTCCTCCTCACTGGGGACTGCTGGGCTTCCTGGGCCGTGAGTTCCGTCTCTGCGCGGCAGCCCCCGGCAGAGCCGCTCGCCGGCGCCCGAGCTGTGGGAGTGGGAGGGGAGGCCGGGCTCCTGCAGCAGGATCGCACGGGACAGGGCGTGGGAGGCCTCAGAAAGGGACACCCTGGAAAGTCCTCGGTGGATGGAGGCAGATGGAGTCGAGCCAGGGACCCAGGAGGACTCCCGGTTGGTCCTCAGTGGGGCTTTGTGCCCTCCTTCCTATTCTTCCTCATCAGCTTGAGGGAGCCCACATTTACTGAGCACTCGCTACGTGACGGCCCTGAGCCATAACCCTCACAACAAACCTTCAAGTGCAGATGCCATTATCACCCCATTTTACGCTGGATGAATGGAGGCTAAGAAAGGTTGTGGCCACACATCCAGAAAGTGGTGGAGCTGGGATTTGAACTCGAGCTGTCACTGGAGCAATACCATGATACAGTGAGACACTGAGGTAAATGTAGCACCAGGTGCCACAGAAGCCAAAGGGAAAGTGCCCAGCTCTTTGTGATGGGGAACGGGGTGGCAAAGTCCCTTAAGGGGACTTTATGGAAGGGGAGGTGGGACCTGAGCTGGCTCTTGAGCAGTGAGTGGGACTTCCCCAGTGAGCAGGGCGGTCCGGGGCTGAGCAGAAGAGTAAATGGGGAGACGCAGGGTTTGTAGATCCTGGTGTCTTGGAGGGGTGGGGTTCAGACCCAGCCAAGGAACAGTGACTGCAACTTAATAGCGGACACCAACATACCAAAGGTATTCAAAGCCACATCTAAAAAAGAAGAAGGAGAAGAAAGCCTTTTGAAAGAGTACAGAAGAATTGTTGTTTCATAACAGGGTTTTAAAGGTTTTCCTAAGAAAAGCAGAAAACCCAGAAACCATAATCGAGAGGACTGGTGTGCTTGCTGACTTAAAAGTGAAAGCCAGTGGCGTGAAGAAAGACTTAGGCAGAGTTAACAGACACATGTTGCAGAAACATCCTGAAGTTGTCTACTCCAAATTCTGCACTTGTCAGTGCAGAAGTGACGAGTGAGAGAAGCCCCATGGTACTCAGGGTGAGAGTGGGCTCAAGACCACATGTCTCAGGCTCCCGTGCAGCTAGCTGTGCCCTTCTAATCAAATGAGGAGAGACTGCTACATTCCCCTTGTCCGGATCAGAGACTGAGCGTGGCATTCCCAAGCCCAGCCTGCTGACACCTGGTGGGGCAGACGCCAGCACCTGTCCTCACTCCTGTGTGTAATCACCACAGCACAGTGTTCACTGAGGCAGGCGCTGTTCTAACAACTTCACAGATCATAGGCTTGTGGTTTAATCCTCACAACGACCTTACCAGGCACGCGCTGCAGTATCTCCATTTCACAGCGGAGACACTGCTGTCACAGTGCTTAGCATCTCGCCAGGGCCACGCAGCGAGAAAGTGGGAGCCAGAATTCAAACCCAGGCCAGGCCACTCCCTGCGCTGCCACTGTGCTTCCTGGCGTGCGCCGTGGAAAGGGCTCTGGGTCCCGTCCAGTGCCTTGGCTTTCATTCTGTGCCGCAGCCTATGCTTCCTGGGCCCCCGGCAGCGCGGGAATGAGATTCGGAAGCCTGGCCGGGAGCCGGGGTGTGAGGCAAAGGACTCAGGCTTGGGGACGGTGGGTTCCCTGCGCCCCCCACTCTGGCCACGCTGTTCTGTCGCGCCAGCGTGTTCGGGCCTGAGGCCTCCGTGCGGACGCCGCTCGCAGCCGCGTGGTGCGCAGAGCCTCCGCCCGGGCGCCGTGCTGGGCCTGGGGCGTGCAGCGAGGCCGGGTGCGCCCTGCTCCCGCGGCCTGCGGTCCGGTCCAGGTGGGACAGAGGACACAGTCACGGGTAACAATGGACCCAATGGTGGCACACAGGGACACCCTGTGAAGGAAGGGGGGCAAGGGCCCGAGAAGGCGGCCGGCTGGCAGTGCGTGGTGCGAGACCCTCTCGGGGAGCGCGGCCCTGGGAAGAGGCAGAGGGAAACGCGCGGGGGCGGCGAGGGCAAAGGCCCTGAGGCAGGGGCGAGTTGGGCCATGTAGCAGGGCAGAGAGTGAGGAGGAAGGTTGTGAGAAATGTGCATTGATGCCTTTTGCAACAATTTGGATGCAACTGGAGAGCATTCTGTACATGAAGTATCTCAAGAATGGAAAAACAAACACCACATGTACACACTATTGAGTTGGAGCTAACTGATGAGCTCACATGTGCACGGAAGAAAGTAAAACTCAGTGGAGAGTAAGCCGGGGACAGGGAGAGGAGGGGAAGAGCAACAACCTCCCTAATGGGTACAGTGAACACTGCGTGGGTGACAGACACACCTGTAGCCATGACTCAAGCATTACAAAAGCAATCCATGTGACCAAAAATGTTTGTATCCCCTTAATACTCTTAAATAAATAAATGAGTATTAGGTAGGAATTTTTTTCCAAATGAATATCAAATTGACCAAGCATCATTTATTTAAAAGATAGTCTTATCTCCAATGTTCTGCTGTCCTACTTTTGACTTAAAGAAAGTGTCCACATATGTGTTAGTCTATTTATGGAATCCATTCTGTGCCATTTGTCTTTTTGTCTATTCTTCAATACTACACTGTCTTAACTACTATACTTTTCTAATAAGTTCTGGTATCTACTAGGTGAGAATGTCTTCTTAAGAGTATCTTGACTATTATTGGCCCCTTGCATTTCCATATAAATTATAATCAGCTTGTCACGTCCCCAAAATATATCTGTCGTGATTTTGATTTAGATTCTATAGGTATCAGTTCAAAGAGCTCACTTAGAAGGAAAAACAAAAACAAAAAGCGTCTGCTCATCCGACGCTGTCATCCGGGTGGGAGCCGTGTGTCTTGCCCTCTGGACTCCGCTCCTTCCCCACGGCGGGGCGGAGGCCGCGGGGACTGCCGGGCTGAGCCCTCAGCCGCGATGACCGCACAATGCAGGCCCCGCCCCTCGGCAGCGCGCAGTCTCCCAAGGGCGGGAAGTCCCTGGCATGGTTCCGGAATCCCAGGTAAGAAAAGTGGAGCCTGGGGAGAAGCAGACCAGAACGAGCAAATAAAACCCAAACAGACAGAAACAAACCTGCGTCCCCATCTATTTGTAGCAGGGCCTTGTGCCCTGTGTGGAGTCCTCAGGGGTCACCCCTTCTTACACCCACTCTAACCCAGGGCGCATCAGCACGGGTTACCCTTATTGCACACAGGCGAGATGCGTCTGCTCCTCACTGTCCTCTGCCTTCTCTGTCCGCGCCCCTGCAGCTGACTCTGCGGCTCGAGACCACGTTCCGGGGGAAGCCAGGCACAAGCGCAGGGGCCACGCGGGCTGGCCGACCAGGCAGGGGAGGGAAGGCGCAGGCCGTCTATGAAAAGGAAAGGGTTAAAGGCGTCTCTGGCATCGGAAGGGGATTAACAAGATGAGGATGAAGGTAAAACACAGACGCAGTAAGATAACCAGGATGTGGCCGTGGAAAAGGGCGCCGTAACTCACGAGGCTGAGTGTGGTTTGCCGCCGCCTTGCGTCCCTGCGCCGCCGGGTCGGGCTGCTGTGGACCCAGTCCTGGCCGTTGAGGGCGCCAGGGCCGCCCAGCGGGAGGGAACCACCTGTCCAGGACGAGCTGTGCGAACCAAGCCGCCGCGTGTGGCTGCAGGTGGCTGGGCGGGTGGGGACCAGAGTGCAGGGGCCTAGAACGCAGGGCTGGGAGGAGGAGTGGGCGCAGAGAGAAAGGGGCAGGGGCGGCGGGCGGTCCAGCAGCCATGGGGGCGGCAGATGGGCGAGGGTTTGGAAGAAAGAGAGGAAGAGCTGGGCATGGAGAGTTTCAGGGTGGGGTGGTGGGGAGGGAGGACGCGGCTCAGAGAGGGAAAGCAGGTGGGGCAGAAATCAGAAAAGCTTGGGTAGAACTGAAGAACAGACCGAGCACGAGAGGAGTGAGGAGAAATGGGAGGAAAGAGGGTTGGATAGCGGCAGCGCGGAGGAGGAGGAGGAGGTGGAGGCTGGGGTTTGAAAAGGTGAAGCGGGGCTAGTTTCCTCGTCATTGAGAAGGCGAGGGCTGCAGTTGGTCAGGGGAACAAGTGAGTCCCAGCGAGTGACTGCGCTGCGCCCAGAAGTGCCCAGCATTCATCTCCCAGCCGCCCTGGCATCTCCCCTGCCTGAATGCTCATTGTGACATGTGCCTGCCCCTCCCTCGGGTCTGGTGACCAGGCCACACCTGCCGCAGACACGTCCCGGCTTCTAGGTTTAAGAGTGATCACGGGAAGTAGCAAAGGAAGAAACGGGGCTGTGATGTTAGTGTCTGTCCTTGGTTTACCCCGTAGCTTTGCCGCTCAGCAGCTCAGCAGGCAAAGAGTGACCAGGGGTCAGGATATAGTTGGGGGTCAGGGCCTGGCAGAGTGGCCCTGCGGCGGAATTGGGACGCAGGACGGAGCCAGTGCCCCAGGCTCCTCAGCCTACTGCACTGTTCAGAGCTCCTTACAGCATTTATGTCGCTGCACAAAGAGAGACGTGGTGTCGATCACACCGGTGAGGACACTGGAGACAGAGAGGGAGCTGCCACGGGCAGGCAGCGGGTGACAAAGCAGCCGGGACTAGAACTGGGCCAAGGGGAGGGCAGGGGGGAGGGAGCACAAACTGGCACAAAGCACCGAGCGGCAGCGTCACCTCCCACCCTCTGGACGGGGTCACGCAGCGGGCGCTCCAGAGCAGAACCTTCCTTTTCATAGGGAACCTCTTGGTCCCTGGTCTGTGGGTTTGAGGCCTTGCTCTGACCTGGAACCAGAGACCTTGGGCCAAAGCTGCTGGGATGACGGCCACACCTGAGTGTCCCGTGACTAGATGCGGAGTTTGTTGCTCACTGCCTGAGACGCCAACTCCGTGTCAGAAGATTAAGGAGGCTCCTGCACCCCCCTTTCTTCTGTGGGATGTGGGAACCCTCTCTGCTAACGTTCCTGGTTTCTTTGACCTCCATCCAAACCATAAGCCCTTTGTTCCCCTGCTGTCTACTGTTCTCTTATTACCATGGTATTCTGATTTTTCTCCTTTAACCCAACATCCTCTCCTCCCATATTTCACAAAACTTTCACTTACATTCTCTGGAAGTCCAGCTACTTGATTAGCAAACTCCCTTTATTTTCTTAAACTGGTTCTTTGCTGACAGTTCTTGCATCTCCTGGCTTGAACTGTGACCTGGATTTCCCTTAAGGACACTGGGTCACTTATGTCTCAAGAAGACATTGTCTGAAACTCTAAAGTACTTCAGGGAGTGTGGGTTGTGGATTCTCCATGCTCCTTCTAATTCCTTCAAAACCATTATTCCTCTCTTTCTACTAAAAGCTCTTGCTCCTTAGAATTTTGTGCTGTCCTCCACCATGGCCCTGGCACTGCCACTGTCAGATCCCCTGCGTACTCTGTTTTCTGTGGAAACTTACACACCTGTCTCAAGGCCTCATTCTTGAGCCCATCATCCTGAGTCACTTCAGTGTCCACTTAGATGGACTGATTCAGTTCTTTGGCCTCTCTTTGTGTTGATTTTATTTTTACTTTGAATAAGTCTTCTGCATTTAAAAAAAATGTTCACTGATACAAAATCGTACGTATTTATTTTGTGTGATGTTTCGATACAGGTATATGTTGTACAATGACCACATCAGGGGATTCAGCACATGCACCTCCTCTAACACTCACCACTGCCTTGTGGAGAGAACATCATACATCCTCCCTCCAAGCTACTTTGAGATATACAGTGTTGTTAACTAAAGTCGCCATTCTGAGTGACACAGCACCAGGACTTATTTCTCCTATACAACTGTAATTTCGTATTTGTTAGCTCCTCTTTCCCACCCTTTTCCCTCCCTCCACCCAAAGCCCAGCCTCTAGTAGCCACTGTTATACTCTGTGCTTCCATGAGGTCAGCTTTTTACATTCCACAGGTAAGTGAGATTGTGTGGTGTCTGTCTTTCTCTGCCTGGCTTAATTCACTCAACATAATGTACTCTAGGTTCATCCATGTTGCTGCAAATGACAGAGCTTCATTTTTGTTATGGCTGAAGATTCTTCCATTGTGTATCTGTCTGTACTATATTTTCTTTATCCATTATTCATGGATGGACACTTAAGATGATTCCATATTGTGGCTATTGTGAATCAGTATTCAATAAATACAGGAATACAGATATCGCTTTGACATACTGATTTCATTTTTTTGTTTTTCATTTTTTTTTTTTGCAATTAAATTTTTTTTGTTTTTTGCTATTTATTTATTATTTCAATTGGTTTAGGGGTTCAAGTGTGTTTTGCTACATGAATGGATTGTGCCATGCTGACATCAGGGCTTTCAGTGTACCTGTCACCAGAATTCTTTACATTTGTGCCCCTTGGTAGATTTTTATTTCTCACTCATCTTCCACTCTCCCCCTTCTTAATTTTCAATGTCAATTATACCACTTTATGCCCAAATATACCTCTTGATTAGCTCCCACTTATAAGTGAGAACAAGTGGTATTTATTTTTCCATTCCTGAGATACTTAGCTTAGGATAATTCTGATCTCTAGTTCCATTCAAGTGGCTGCAAAAGACATTATTTTATTCTGTTGTGGCTGCATAGTACTCCATGTAATGTGTGTGTGTGTGTGTGTGTGTGTGTGTGTGTGTATGAATATGCATACAAACCACATTTTCTTTATCCACTTATCAGTTCTTCAGTTGATGGGTACTTAGGTTGGTTCTATATCTTAAGAATTGTGACTTGTGCTGTGACAAACATTTGGTCTAGGTGTCTTTTTGATATAGCGATTCCTTTTCCGTTGGATAGATACCCAGGAGTTGAATTGCTGAATTGAATGATAGGTCTACTTTTAGTTCTGTGATGAATCTCCATACTATTCTCTGTAGAGGTTTTACTAATTTATGTTCCCATCAAATGTGTAAAAATGTTCCAATTTCACTGCATTAATGCCAGGATCTGGGGAGGCCCGGTGGCATGAGGTCTGGCCAGCTGGCAGAGGCCCAGGAGAGACCGAGGAGTTGGGGAGGGTGGAAAGAAGCGAGGCCCGCTCCAGACTGCGGGTCTCAGACGGCCCCACCCCCACACACAGACTTTCTGGCTGAGCAAGGCCATTCCAGCCCCTCCCTGACAGCTTTTCCTGGAAGGAGAGAACAGAATTTGACCCCTGCTAACGGCATTGGTGGTGCCTGAGGCAGGCTTACCCAACCCAGCTCCGCCCAGACTCTCTCCTAGACCAGCCCTCACTGAGGGGGAGAAAAGGACACACCTGGAAGACCCAGGGACCCACCCACCACCTGAGGCACTAGAGTGCCTCGCTACAGGAACAAGAGTAGGTTACAGAACACAAAAACAACAGCGTAACCTGTTCCTCCCAGCAAGCACCACCTACTGACAGGGCGGACAATCTGCACACCCTTTTCACGGCACCTACTGACTCATCATACAGGGTGTGGTTGAATCTCTCCCACAAACACCACCTACTGGCTCAGAGACTATTTTTTATTTTTTATTTTTTAATTTTTTATTAATGGCCATTCTGACAGTAATAATGTGGTTTCTCGTCATGGTTTTAATTTGCATTTCCCTAATGATTAGTGATGCTGAACAGTTTTTCATGCGTTTATTGGCCATTTGTATATTTTCTTTTGAATAATGTCTGTTTATATGCCTTACTCATTTTTTGATGGGGGGAATATTTTATTGCTGATTTAAGTTCTTTATGGATTCTGAATATTAGCCTTTTCTTGGATATATAGTTTGGGAATATTTTCTTTCATTCTGTAGGTTGTCTGTTTAGTCTGCTGATTAATCCCTTTGATGTGCAGAAACATTTTATTTTAATTTAGTCCCATTTATTTATTTTTGTTGTTGCTGTATTTATTTTGGGGGACTCATTCATAAATTCTTTGCCTAGGCCAATGACCAGAAGGGTTTCTCTAAGTTTTCTTCTAGAATTTTTATGATTTCAGGTCTTACACTTAAGTCTTTATCCATCTTGAGTTAATTTTTGTGTATGGCAAGAGATAGGGATCTGATTTTATTCTTCCACATGTAGGTATTCAGTTTTCCCAGCACAATTTACTGAGTAGGACATCCTTTCCCCAGTGTACATTTTTTTCTGTTTTGTCAAAAAATTAGTTGGTTGTAACTGTATGTCTTTGTATCACAGTTCTCTATTCTGTTCCATTGATCTGTGTTTACCTTTATTCTAGTACCATCTGTTTTAGAAATTATAGCCTTGTTGTGTTATTTGAAGTCAGGTAATGTGATACCTCCAGATGTGTTATTTTTCCTTAGGATTGATCTGACTATTTGAGCTCTTTTCATGGTTGCATGTCCTATTTCCCAGGCAATGGCAGTGGCTGTTGCCCCACTCAGGTGGCAGTGCTGGGCCCTAGGGCCACAGGTGCTCTCTCCATATGCACACAGCAGCTTTTTCTGGGTGGGTTGCCCAGGCAGCAACAGCAGGTTCTTGGTCTGTAGGTACCTGCTCTGCCCAGGTCCCCCAGTGTCTGTGGGTATGTGGTATCTACCCACAAGGTACATGATAAGCCCAGCCTCCCTGCTCCCTCCATGGGCCATTGGGTGATTGTGAGGCGGCAGCAACAGATCTGACTCCCAAGTAGGAGTAGCATTCTGGGGCTGTGACCTCAAAATGGCACCAGCCACAGCGCCCAGGGTTTGTAAGCCAGTCGGATTCTGCTGTGTCTTCTCTCCTTAGCAGTGCTGTCTCGCAGTCTCCATTCAGCTCCCCATGTCATTCCAGTGGCCTGCTGTGGCAGAGGAGCCCCCCAGAGCTCTGACTTCAATGTCTGCTGGGGAGTGTGGTGCCCCAGGGTGCTCTCCTTTGTCCTTTCCCCACATGTGCACCTCCATCCTGGCAAGTGGGGCACCCACTTTCCTCTCCTTCACTTTGGGATCCTGTCATCACCTCTCTGTTTATTTCCAATGATAGATAGTCAATCACAAAGTGAGTTACCTGCTCATGACTTTCCATCTTCTCCTTGAAAGTGGTATATGCAGTCTGCTTCTAGTCTGCCATCTTGGCCCCCACATTCTAATTTACTTTTCCTTGGGTAAATATCCAATATTAGGATTGCTAGATCAAAAGGTATTTCTACTTTTTATTTTTTTTTAAGTAACTAGCATATTGTTTTGCACAATGGCTATACTAATGTACATTCCCACCTGCAGTGTATAAGAGCTCATTTCTCCACTTCTACACTGGCATTTGTCATTTTTTATCATTTTAGTAATAGGTATCCTAATTGATATGAGGTGATTTCTCATTTTTGTTTTGATTTGCATTTCCCTGATGATTAGTGACGTTGAAAATTTTGTCATCTACCTTTTAGCCATGTGTAGGTCTTCTCTTAAGAAATATCTGTTCAGGTCTTAAAATTTTATTATTTGTTCCCTTTTTTTGGCGGTTGTGTTGAGTTTCTTGTGTATTCATAATATTAACCTTGTATGAGATACATAGTTGGCTCTGTATTGCCAAAGACTACTACTTACATT